CCATCTCAACTCGTGCGGCTGTGAGCTGCGCAGTGCGATTTTATCTAAACACCTACTTCTTAGGCCGCTGACCCCAGCAGCAGACACCCTGCCCAGATGTTACATTCCGTGATCCAGGAATTTGGACAGACAGTGCTTCTTTTGTCTGCCGCGACAGAAAGAACGTCAGCTATTTCAGGCACGTCACAGTGATGCCGCTGTGTGCGGCATCCAACTGTGTCAGGGAGCTTCAGGTGTGCGCTTGCGGCAAGAAGTGTCGGCCCCACCGGGACCTAGGATTGTGGGATTGTCTAAAGACTAAGAGTGGCAATTTTGAGGTTCATTTCGGCTTCGACTCCTCTATCTAGTTCTCCTTCAAACTACGTAGGCATGTGAGGGTATGTGCAACCCGGTCCACAATACCAGAATTTCGAGCAACAGCGAGCGTATGTGCAACCCGGTCCATAATACCAGAATTGCGAGCAACAGCGAGCCAAACGCAAACTCCGACGGAATCCACCGTTCTGGGAAAGGCTGAAGCGCCTTTGCACGGTGGGGTTGTAATTTGCATAATTAAGACAACTATAGTCTGTTGATTTTAATTCGTGCAGGCTTCAAGCTTATTCACGCCGTCGGGCCAGTCTGGTGCAGACTCCAGGCTTCGCATTGTCCAGCTGTTTCTGTCGGGTCAACGGCATGCCTAGGGACTTGCACAAGGAAGGCCGCTCGCCGATGGGTTAAAATTGTGACATGGCTTCCTCTGATCGCTTTCGACGCATCTCGCGCTCCGCCCCGAGTGATGTTGGAATCCCTAAACTTTACCTAAACCCCAAGCCCGAAGCTTTTCAGCATGCACCCCTCGTTTGTTGCTTGTTTCCTTGCAGGCCCACAGTGCGACCCGAGCGCAGCCGGTTTTTGCCGCGCGCATGTCCCAAAACAGTCCTTGTCGCAGTGTTACGATGTTAAGCTTCAGAACCGCTTACTACAAGAGTTCGATTTGCATTTGCAGGAGCGGCTGGTATCTTCCATGCTAGGCTGGCTTCCTTGATAGCCTTACATGTAAGCAGACGAAGCACAGGATTACTGCAAATTGTTGCTATTATTATGATTACTATAGCAATACTTACTTTAATTATAGCTGCAATACTGACTTTAGTTATAACTATTAATCTGAGTATGAATGAAGGCCCCTAAGGCCCCCCCTCCCGGTTAGAAGGCCTTGTAAGTCCGAAGAGCCATGGGTGCTGCGCAGTGCTCTGCGAGCCTGAGCCTCAGAGATACCTCGCTGTGAATGGCATATAGTATACCATACTATACTATTTTCTATGTGTGTGCTGTACATATATATATGCATATGTCTAACACATACATGTAATCTAGCATATTACAACATTTTGTAGCATGTTATAGTAAATATAGTCTACTGTAGTATACGGCTGTACATCGTGACATATTATCATGTTCAGGTGATTTCATCAAGAAACCAGCCCGAACACCATGCCAACACCCCTGCAGAGGGGCTGAGACTTTGAAAACCCGAGCCCATGAATGCTAAACTGTTGAACTCTGCAGTTGATCAATCTCACTTGCTGCGCGGAGTGGTGCACTCAGCAAGAGCCACCCCGATGCCGCAACTAACCGCTCTGGTTCTTGCGAAAACCATTCCTTCTACTGCGTGAACCTAGCTCCCCACTCTAAAGCAGCGCGGGTGGAGTCTCCGAAAATGCCGAACTGCGTTGGATTCCGCCGCCGACACTGCCCACAGTCTAGCTGCTAGCTACTGGGCTCCACCGGCCGGTACCAGTAGTGAAAGTTTTCGCACCGCGACCCAAACGATTCCACACCCAATGCTCAATACAAGAAACAACGCACATGCCGCATGAGGTCACTGCGATTGCCCCAAGGGGGGATTGGACAATGCGTCGGTGGTCGAGGCAGGTTTTGAGAAAGGGCAGCTGACGATGCTAGGATGCCTATGGTTATGCTGGTGCTCTCTTCTTTTTGACCAGCTTCCGATATCTCCTGAGGACAGTACACAGTAGAGGCAGAGACAGCAGAGCCCACTAGAGTTTCTCAGATCGTGACAGTGCTGAACTTGTGGCTGTAAGGGCATGAGGTGGGCAGTCTCCTCGAGCATACAGCTTCAGGGATAATTCGCAATGCGATGCCCTTAAACCCCAACCCCCTCCCCAGTCCCATGCGGTGCACAGGACCGCCTCAATCCCTCTGCAAAGGTGCCTTGGCCGCAGAAACAGTATCTGTGGGTTCAGGATGGAGAGTGATTTAAATTTACGAGAGTCCTATACTATCCTACGCTCCTACACCCAAGCACGACGGCACGCTGTCATGCTCTAAGCAAGTTTGTCGACACTGGCTGCTAGCAGGCTTTAGGGTTTCGAGATGCCGGATTCCAGCTTTTTGCAAGTGTTGCCGCGTGTGACAGTTGGATGCAACGGTTGATGATATAAATCCTGCTCAACTATGGGAATTCTGGTATATTCCTTATTTTGGGTTATGCAGGACTTATACCATCAACCGAAGCTCCTGGGGGCAGGTCCTGGCTTCGCTGGGCCCTGCTTACGTCTTCGAGGATGGGGCGCGCTACAGCCTTCCCGGCTGGCTTTGGTACTGAACTGTGGTTTGGGGGTGGCGATGAAGGTTTTGGGATTCATAAGTCGTAGGGTGTTGGTGAGCTCAAAGATGCATTTCACGGAGATGTAGGCATCGGCTGCAGGATTGCCTGATTATGGTGGGCGTTCTGCGGCTGTCGAAATTGTAGTCCTTTCTTGGGCACACTAAATATTAGGTGCCGTAATATATGAAGGACCCAAAAAGGGACCATAATTTTGACAACCACCCATACATTTTTGTGAACATCTGGACGGCTGTGAAACATTCCAAAGAACAGATGCTGGCGTCATAATCCGTCATAGTAGAACTCATCCCTTCTATTCATTTAGGCCCTTTGTGCCCCCACCGGTCGCAGTCGGTTTTGAATAAGCGTGAAACATTTCCTGCAGAACCAAGCCCAGGTGGCCAGTGGCAGAATGGAATGAGACATGGCCCCGTGGCAGCGATTCTGTAGGGTGGGGGTCGAATAAGCGGGGATACTATTGCTCAAGCCTTAGGCATAAATATTTTATAGAATACGCCAGAACCCTACGACAGGAAAAGGAAGCCTTAAATCCTAATCCCCAATCCCTAATCGCTACATCAATCCTAAACGAAGCTCTAACCCATACTATGGCAACGACGGTGGGAGGCAAAACATCATCCAAATCTTGCGCGCCTTGCCTGGAGTGTCCGAGTGCGACTGCAAGTGTCCAAAGTCTCCAATCCGTGACCCTGAGCCCCGCTGGGCGGGTGGCAGAAACACCCAAGTCCCTTGTGCTCTCTGGCTTGTCCGAGTGGGAGAGAGCGTAGACCGGGCCCAAAAGCCCAAAACGACTCTAAGCCTTGCAGGCCCCTAGAATATACGCCGCAACACTCCGCAACTCTAGCATCCCTGAAGCAAAAACTCGAGGTTTCGGAGTCCACATCGAAGTAGACGGCTCCACCTACGAAGGAGCACGTGAAGGGCCGTTTATGGATACAGCTATGGATGAGGGAAGAGGATTCGGTTCCCTGCCCTCTACTGTCAACCGGCATGCTCTCTAACCTCTGGTGCCTTGCAATTTAACAAGAAAGGGAATGCATTTTTCTCTGATCGATCCGAGGGCGGACCGTTGAGGTTTCGGGACGCATACGGGTCCCATCTTCTGAGTTTGTTAAGGAGACCGGGGTCGATCGCCGGCTCTGGTTCACTTCGCTTACTTGGGTTGATGGCCCTGGGAGCCCAAGACTCAAGTTTTTCTGAGTAACGGGCCCCACCCTGCAATCAAGAGGCGGCCAAGGACATGCCCTAGCTCCTACGTTATTCCGCTTTCCTTCATTCTCAGAGCCGGTGCTTCTATCTCACCCGCCACGCCTATCCACATTCCGCTTCTGAGTGCCGAAGCCCTGAGAGAAGCCGTTGCAAATCCCGATGAATCGGCACGTACAAACCTCGTGCCGTACATGCCCGAGATGAGACCCCTATAAATCTCTGATAATCCGCACAAGAAACCCTTGTAAACCCCTTACACAATTTCTACCACCCGCGCCTTCAGCAAATTCTTACAACTCAAGCTACTAACCCCTAAGCTCCTAAACCCTTGTAGGGTGTGTCCGAGTTGCGCGAGCGTAAAGTGTTTGTGTCATTGATCGTGGTTTGTAGTTGCATTCTAAGCCATTCCCACTAGATTGTTTCACTCAGCAGGCCTCGAACCACATGCCTCGCCTGGATTGTCCGAGTGTGAGCGCCGAAACCCTAAAGCCTACAAAAGTCTTACAACTCTTTGATAAAATCCCAGCAGGCCCTTTACAGATGCTTATCCGCCCCTTGCACAACCTTGAGCTCCAAAAGCACAGAAGGGTCCCAACTTCTTCTGGGAGTTTTGTGGTGCGTTGGAGCCAGGGACCAACATGGTATGTCATGAGGTTAAATCAAACTTCACATAAGCTGACACACCCATATACATACATACATACATATATATGCACACCTACCTATATACATACACATACACGGAGGTACATGATACAACATGTTACAGACCCAGTAGCAAACTGTACTTTGTAACCCTACATGGTCTCCCAGTATGTGCAAATTTTATGTACCTTTACCGCGTACTGGGTTTCTTCACGGGTTCCCCCTCCACCAGGAAATTGGCAGGATGACAAGGCACCGGAAGAGGGGGAGGGAGACTTGAGGCCATGCACCGGCAAGATGCAACTTTCTGAGTGTCTGTCTCCGAGGCCCATGTTTGCGAAGGAGATCAAAAACACATCATGTCCTTTTGGGTCATAGCTGACGTTCTCCATCTGAAGCGCGGATAGTGGCGTAATATGGGTAGCCTCAAGCTGCTTTGAACCAGGCTCATGGTAGCGGGCGCCTTCAACATGCAGACGGCGCGTCCTATGAGGGCGCATGGCAAGGCAGCATGAAGCCCCTTGCACCGCAGTTGGTGCGACAGAGAGAGAGAGAGAGAGAGAGAGAGAGAGGGACCTCTTACAGAACAACGTCTCAACACAAGTGGTGCGCCCCTTGATGTTGAGCGCCAACGGCCATGCCGACGCAAATCTGATGTATTCTAGGGGCGCTTGTCGGTTGCTACGAATTGAGGCACCCGAATCCTTGCCGAAATATAATATGTTCTTGCTATAATATGAAAGAATACTATAGCCTATAGCATATAAAAAGACAGCAGAAAATATTACAACAACTTATATCATATCAAGATAACTTAATGTAATCTAGCATGAAACAATGCATCATAATAGATTTTGAATGTTATCACGTAATACAATACACTAGTAATCACTAGAAAATACTATCACAAATTATAGCGTATACCTATAACACTTGAGTAGCAATGATGTAATCCAAGATACGGAGCAGTATAGCACAGAAACGTATGTAATGGAATGGACTATGTGGGTTCGGATAGATGTCATATCTCAGGCACGGTGAAGGAACCTACATCCACAGCGACGGGTCCAGGCCAGAGCCTTTCTTCGAGAGTGCGGGCTCAAATCATCTTCGTGCCATTCAGCTTTTTGTCCAAACGGCTCATGCTTTGCTGACTTCGTACTGCTTATTGCTTGCACATGTTGCCTGTGCGCGCATGTGTGTGCGTGTGTGTTTGTTTGGTTGATGTGGTACTATGTGGGCATTGCGTAAGCCGGCCTGTGGTAGCATCACGGTATTGTCTTCAGACATCACACAGTCACATACCTACCTACCCACCTAGGTACGTATGTATGTATGTATGTATGTACACACACATATGTAAGCACAATTAAGCACACCTACATCATTAACTCGTGGTTACATACAGTACATGTGTGCATACATACGGAACCGCGTGCAGACATGCAGCCCCCCGTACATGCAGATGTAAACGAGCACAAAAGTTGTGGATGGGCCTCGAGGTCACCTGGCCTTTGCATACAGAGGGTCCAGGGTTTAAGGCAAGTTCAGTTTTGTGCCTGGCCTTCTTCGGAGAACAGGTGCGACACATCCAAGCGGGATTCACAAAAGCCTGTGCAAAAAAAACGGCAAGTTTAGCCAAGCCCTTCGCTGCAGAGCCCTTGCCGCTTGTGCCATCGGTGGGAGGTATAGCGGCCAGTGGAAGCACGACCTGCAGAACGGCCAGGGGACGGAGGCCACGGGATCTCCTTGCGTCACTCGCACCACACAGGGAGCAGTTTGAGGGCAGCGATCCGTGTGGCGAGGGCAGAATCAAGTAAGTTCCAGTCTTGAAGCCTTATCCGAACTCCGAAACTTGTAGGGCACTCTAAGACGCACTACATTTCGCTATACCGCGTCCTAATCTCTATGAGACTGCAAACTTGGAACCCTGCCAAACCCCTGCTGCCGTTTGTGCACGTGATTCCGACACAGCTGCCATTTGCGCATGGTAGTGCTGCAGGTGTCTTAAACTGATTCATGCCCTCAGAGACGCCTTCAACCCTAAACCATAAACGGATGTACTACTGTACTTCGTCGCAGGTGTGGTCAGACGGTGCGGCCTATACAGGCCGAGGGTGAGTTGGGTTTGCAGTTTAGTGTTTAGGGTTCCTTATTTGTGGTTTAGGGCTTAGGGTTTATGTTTTCAAAAAGGGTTTAAGCGTCTAGAAGCTTACAGTCTGCAGAAACGGCAGATGGACTTCGGGTGCTCTTCTGATGCCTCCCGCCCTTGATGAGGGTCTTGCGAATCAAAATTATATCTAAACCTGTCAGGCCACGAAAGCACTAGAGGTTGGGGCTCAACCCCAGACTGTACTCTACTCTCCACCACTCCAGCCTAATCCAGTCCGATATGGCACCCTCGTAATTGCTTAGTATTGTATTCTGTAGCATATAGCTAAGCCGGCTAATCCGATGTAATACTCGAAAATAGAGAGATTCCATAACATATAGCCTGCGCAGGTCAGTACTTGAACGGCCGAAAGAACGGTCGGGGCAAGTACACCTGGCCGAATGGGTCTTTCTTCGAGGGTGACTTCCTAGACAATGTGCGATGGCCGCACGAGTAAGGCTCCGATTCCTGCTGCTCTTAAGTTAAGGGTTCCTTTAAAGAGATCCTTTCAGGTGTCCTTTTGAGAGGTCCTTTAAGGGGTCCTTTAAACGAATCCGACAATCCAGCATTTTACAGTCGGGTTGCTGAGGCTACCATGTCGCCTGCCCGAGCCCTGAAGCCTGAGGGGAGAGTCCGAACATTCTAAGCCATTTACAGGTGGGTAGTCGTTAGGTGGGTAGTTTCCCATAAGCCTCCTATACCACTCCTATAAGGTAAAGGGGGTCTTATGGGAGTACTATGGAAGAAGAACTACCTACGTGTAAGGGACTTCTAAACATGAGGGTGGAAGGTGGCTGCGTCAGAGGTCTTCCAACAAGTCGGGCCGGGCTTAACATTGACAAGTTGTAGCATGTAGTATAGAAGCCTAAATGATTACCCATCCTATTTTGGGGGGTCCTTAATACAATTATAGTATCATGGGCCTCAAAGCCCTATTCTAATTCTTAAGGCCCCCATAATGGCATCCTCCAGCCCACCTGGTCTTTTATGAGCAACCCTCAGGGTTTGACCTGAGCTTATTGGCTGAGGATATACATGGACAAGGCACCTACACATGGCCCGATGGCTGTGTCTATGAAGGCCGGCACGGCTGAAGCTGCAAGTTCATGTTTTCATAGGGGTACAGGTGGGATGTTAGGTTTCTCAGCTCGAATGTAAGGCGGCTAAACAGCCTCCACTCTCATTGACCCAAGATCATCCCGAAACCCTGGGCACAAGAGGCGCTTTTTATCGCAACGTTCAGAAAACTTCGAAGTACAGCTTTTTTGTTGAGAGGTCAATGGATCAAGCAGCAGATGGAAGGCACCGGTGTGTTCAAGTACCCCGATGGCCGCGTTTACAAAGGCTGCACTACTGCACCTGGATATCGAGCTAGCTCTTTCTGTCTAGAGTTTAGAGCTCGGGGGTCGACAGAGCACCTTTGCTTGGTACTTTCTTGGTGGATTTTAAGGTTCTGTTCCTAAGCAGGGTCTTGCAAATTTCGGATTTAGCGACCCAAGGCAGGCAAGGCTTTTGTTTCAAGCCCCGAAAAAGCTGTAAAAGCTGAGGTGTGCAGCTAAGAATGGGTTGAACTAAACACGGCTACCCTTGATGTTCGAAGTCGACGGCAGGGCATGCAGCATGGTTTCCCAGCGGTTAATCATAGTAAGTCGAGGTGTATCCGGATCACCATCGAAAAGTCAACACTCAACAGATGGGTGGTTGTCAAACTTATGGTCCCTTTTTGGGTACCCTAAATATTAGGTGCCGTACTATATTAGGGACCCAAAAAGGGAATATAATTTCGACAACCACCCAGATTGTGCACTGCTGATCAGCCAAAGCCAGGCCGGGGTCGAGTTACGCGACGCGCAGAATGTGGGAGGTTCCGAAAATAGGGGGTACCTTATTTGGGGTCCTTATAATCAGGATCCTACTATTTAGGGTGCTATATTAGGGTCCCCTGTTTTCGGAAACTCCCAGTTACACGACGCGCAGAATGTAGCGTCGAGTCTACTCAGAAGTTCTTTTTGTTGCGATTCTCCCGCCAAGAAGCAACAAGAACAAGGAGCCACAGGAAAGTCGTCGTTTGAAGTTTGAAATTCCTTTACCGGGATCGGGTTTCATGCATTGCCCTTCCAAGTAGTCTCCTAGCAATTTGAAGTAGTGCTTAAACCCTAAGCATCGTGAGCGCCGCAAGCTTAAAACCCTTAACCCTAAAACCTACGAAACCGGCTATGTCGGTTGTGGGCTTGGGCTTGGTCCTCGCTCGCATGTTCCCGTAGCAGTGGTTGGTTCAGACCTATCGTGTGGATCCGTGCCTGCTTTGCGAGTGCCAGCGTCGAAAACCTACAACCTAGGTCTTTTGCAACACTCTGGATCTGAGCCTCAATCGATCCAGGATCGAGCCGGAATCCTGCTTGATTAGCGCGTTTTCGCTTGACACATGAAGCGCACAAAACAAACGGAATCATAGAGTCCAGAAAACCGTGGAGATATCGCTGGCTCTCAGCCTCTAAACCCTAGCCTACAGGCTCCTATGTGAAGAGCCAAAAGCACGGCGAGGGCACGCTCCAATGGCCAGATGGTCGGAAGTATGAGGCTCCAAGCTTGGGGGGCCAAGTTTCCGCACATGCTGCTCAAACGAGGCAAAGTAGTAACGTTTATGTCTGTTAAACATCTGTATAACCTAGGTTTTATGATACAGTTCAGACAGTACACTTTATGTTGCGCAGTTTGTATGATATAGTTTCTGTCAGGCATAGACAGGATTCCCGCTCTGGGTTCCGTTGTCAGCATCCGAAGTTGAATCCGACGACGGACACTACACCAGCGAACGGGCTGCCCCCCCAAAGCAATATTATTCCTTAGGGTTCCTGGTATAACCCTAGGGTAATATGCCCCTGTTAAGGCTCCTATATCGGGTTCCCGAGTATAGTTCTAGTGTATTTTGCCCATATCAATGATGGCTCCAGATGCCTTCCGTAGAAGCCTAAACGAATAATTAACTAGAATATACCCCTATGAGGGCTCATAAGCCCTAAACCCTGAACCTGCATTGCGAGTGTGCGAGTCGAAACCCTAACCCCCATGCCCCTATCAAGGCTCCCATATTACTTAAAGGTTCATGGGACTTAGCAAGCAAGGTTAGAAGTAGGTTATAGTAAGGATACCTTCCAAAACTTATAAACCCAATTATGACCCTACTTACCAGGTCCCATGATCCTTTAAGCAGAAGCCCTCAACCTGAGAGCTAGCTCCCTACAGTGTTGTTTCACTCAGCAGACCTCCGAACCATACGCCTCGCCTGGTTGTCCGAGTGTGAGCGCCGAAACCCAAACCCTGCTGGTCCCAGGGCGACTGGGCTCAAGGAGAGATGAATGGCCAAGGGGTCATGACCGAGGCGGACGGCACCCGGCGTGTAGCTCGGCGGCAGTGCTCCGAAGGGGCACTCGTGGGTAAAAGCATCTCATCGAAAATGATCTTATACCACTAGTCTGCTATAGGATATTACAGTATATCATGGTACAGTGTAGTATAAGATAGTAAACCATAGCTTATTATAGTAGATCATAGATAGAACATAGTACGTCATCGATTGTTTCTTGTTCGGGAAAGGTCGGACATAGCAGATTGGGGGTTCCTCCAGCGCAGGTGCTTGAGGATGTTCCTGCACTGGAGTGTGCCGCTGAAGTAGGTTTGTTCAGAGGTTTAGGGGTTTAGGGTTTAGGGCCGTTTTTCATAGTCCTTGTGCCACATGCTACTGCAGCAGCTGCATTCCTGTACAGCAGAAGTACTCGCAGTAGTCAATACTGCCCGTACGGGGACTGGCCTACTTACTACAAGTCAGATAGCAGCAGGACCAGCAAGACTAACCTGCAAAAACAGCAGCAGAACCACCACTGCCACCATTATCACCATATTGCAGGATCACCATCACAGTCACCATCATCACTGCCAGACGGTTCATGTCAACAGTTCGCAGCGTGACGTTGCACTCGCAGAGTGAATCGAGCTTATCTACCATCTCCGACATTCTCCGACCTGCAGTTTCGTGAGCTGAGAGTTTCCGAAAACAGGGGACCCTAATACAGCACCCTAAATACAGTAGGATCCTTATTATAAGGGCCCCAAAATAAGGTATCCCGAATTTTCGGAAACTCCCAACTGGAGCAAATCCAGCTCCGTGTAAACCACCGCCGCGGGCTTTCAACAGTGTGGCCCGGACACTTCCAGCTTTGCGCCCCAGCGATAAGCCAGGAGGGGACATGGAAGCGGGGCCATCGAGTCAATCAATAGCTTCCGAAAGGCCCAGCAGAGGGATCACGAGCAGTCTCAGGTGGAGTGGTTTTTACTTCAGTTTCAGCTTTCACTGCGATCAGGGCTTGGATAGTAGGGCTTTCAGTTCTCAAGGTCGTTTGGGGATGCTTTTAGGAATGGGACAGACATCGCGACCACGCCAAGATCAGGGGACCCTGGAACCTTACATGTATTCCTGTTCTTTTCGGGGCGCTATTCAGGACTAAGGCTTTTGGGTTTAGAGATGTTTAGAGTGTTCTGTCTTTGGGATTGTTGGCCAGGAGCTATAGGGTTTGGTCGGAAGATGTATTGCCTAGAGGATTACACAAGCCGGACTCCAGAGTCCAAGCCAGAGGCTCAGGGGCGTTCGCATCGCAACACAAAACCACAAACCCCTAACCCCCGATCGTCCGAGTGGTAGCACCTTCCAAAGCTTTGGACTAAGATGCAGGCAGCATCACTTTGCCCTAATCCCCATCGTTCCTGTTCCAAAAGGTCAGAAGAACCAAATAAACTTAAAGAACATGAACGAAGTGCGTGTTTCTTTTGCTTGGTTTGAGTTGGATCTTTTCAGCCCCGCCTGTGCTCAACTCCCGAGCGGAGTGCTACCAATAGCAGTAGTAACAGCGATCATCATAGCAACAGTTCGTCATCGCCAGCCTCATCATCGTCGTCATTCCACTGTTTGCCACCGTTTTCATCAGTGACGTTCAAGCATCACTCGTATAGGTTCCTGAAGAATTACCTACACTAATTTGGGGGTTCCTTGTTATAATGCTTGCATAATGGGCCCCAAAACCCTATTCTAACTATTAAGGCCCCGATATTACTGGGATTATCATCACTTCCCTGCCCGGGGAAGTGGCTTCAGGTGGTTTCCCAAAGTGGCCATCCGTGGTTGCCGCACCAACAAGGACGGGGCGGGCTTTACGAATTACGAAACCAGCAGTGGAGAAGTAGACAGCGGATCTTGCCAACGGAATCGGTAGCAGGCCCATGCCGAAGGGAGACGTATATCAACTGTTTCTGCTACACAGAGAGGGAGAGCACAAGCTAAAGTTGGCTACTTAACTGGTCAGTACCCGTGGATTTGTAGTCAAGGCGTCTTCCCTGAAACGACAGGAGGCGAACCACTCGTGAGCGCATTACGCTTTCTGTCCTGAGAGCGGGTGCTGAAAGATCGTCAAACCTTAGACTCAGAACCACTTCCAACAACCTGTTAGCTCCCCTGGCAACGGTTTGGGGACTCACAGCACATAAACTCGAATGTGTGCATAAAAGAGTCCGCCAAACTTGGCACTTGCTGGGCTCGGACGGTTCTGAGCAAAGCCCCGCACGATGCCACGCAGCGGACATGTGTGAAAACTGCGTCATGTCACAATGCCTGGTAGGGAAACATAGTGCTCATCCCGATTCAGCGGTCCAATCCGTTTTGTGGCATCCTTTTTTGTGCGAGGTTTGACTGCTTTAGGCTTTTGCAGAAGCAAAGTTGGGCTCATCAGGCCGTTGCAACTCCACGGTTCGTGGCTCGGGATCCGAGTTTTGAAATTTCAACATGGTTGCAGTGTTCGCGGGACGTTCACCCAGTCATTCTACAGCAGCAGATGTCTGATAAACTGTGCAAGGCCTGAAAGAAGCCCGGCCTTCTTACACATCCCATTGCCAGTGGGTGCAGAGCCAGGTCGGAGCATGAACCAGTGCTTCAGCTAGTCCCATGCCACGGTTTCACCCGTCTCCTCTCACCAACTGAGACGTGTCGACTTTGTCTGCGAGAAAAGGGTTGTGACTGCAGCGAACAGTGCTTAAATGGTTACACCATCGAACGCTCTTGTCTGTTCAGTCTACCCTAAAACTACCCCTTGTATCAACCGCTATAGTGACTCTTGTAATTCCTGAATCATAAGTAGCAACAACCAACGCCTCCCTGGGCTCCAAGTGACCGAGGCTGCAGATGGCAAGCCTGTGTCGCCGAATCGTGCAGACATGGCCTCAGTATTGTGAGTGCGCTCTGCTACGTGCAGTGTCGATGAAGACCCAGCGGAATTGAACCGGAGTTTCTGGAGAAGCGTGGATTATTAATCCTGAGTACAAATTAGAAGCATTGCCTTAAGGCGTACTATAAGAAGGAGTACGATTCGATAAGAGCTCCGCAGTAGATTTTCCCGATCATGTGCAGGCCTGCAGAAGAGCTTTGAGATTTCACCGAAGCCACCCTGAGCGCAGTAGCCCTTCACTCTGTACCTTCGTTCACACCCCAAAAGGGCGCAAAGTTTGCCAAAGCTTGAGGAAAGGCCCTCAGGTTCTGAAGACCTCATGCTCCTTGCCAACATCACGGAACCAGTTGATACGTTGAAAGCACACAGCTTTTGCATGTTGAGGCGGAAGCGGGTCCGCTACATCGAGGATGCCTCGCTCAAGGAGGCCAGTGTTGGAGGGGAGTAGAGCAAGACATTCTTGCACTGGCCCTCAAAAACTGCTGTGGCCCAGCTGGTCTAGCCTCTTCTTCCAGGATCAACAATGGGTGCCTTGCACAGTGCGTCCCTGCATCCCTCCAGCGGACGGAGTCCACAGTGACTCCGGTTCCTCTGCGTCGACAGGAGCTTGCCGGCCTCCGAGACGTCATGCGTGAACACCGCGAGGCCTGCTCGGCTTTGAGGACTTTGAGGAATCTGAGGCTCATCTTCTCGATCGCTTGCGGTCTCTGCTTCCGAACCGAGATTTGCAAAAGTGCCTAGGGCCCCTAGGGCGACCTTCATCTGGGACATGGTGCCAGCGTTTCGGGTATCCCATGCTGGTCATGCTCGCCTGGTCTTTGCAACGAAAGCCCCACCCTGCCACATGTAATTACCAACATCTAAACCTACACTTTCGCTTCCCATTCAAGAAGTCCTCAGGACACGTCTCGTGCCACGTGTATCCGAATCGCTTCACTATGCGTGAAATGCTGGACACCGTCAACGCGATAAACCGAAACCCCTCACCAATCCGAGACGTTCAGGCCCGTACAAAGTGCCCTGAATACCCTTGTTGCATACCGTTACCTGATCAAGCCTTGCGCTGTGCTTCAGCTCGCCATGGAACACGACAGCGACCCGAAAGCCTCCTAGAACCGCGACTTCCCAAGGCGCAGTTCGCTCAGTTGGCCAAGGAGGAAGAGCTGCAAAGAGCAAGGGAACCAGCCTCGGATCTTGGCTTGGGGTTTTCCAAGGGTTCTAGAAGCTTAGTAGCTGAGTGGATACACTTTACACTTTTGGTGATAGTATTAGCCACTATAAAACTGAAAGTGTACCCTTTTTGGGGCTTATGGACTCAGCAACTAAGGAAGGATTACCATACTGTTCCTTTTCAGAGAGCCAATTGAAGTTACGTTTTTTGCCAGGGGTTTGGGTGCATTTAGGGTCCCCTTAGCCTAGTGGACAATGCGTCGGACTTCTAGTCCGAAGATCGCGGGGAAGAACAGAGTGTTTCGGAGGAGTATCGGGAAGCAAGATTCTTGCGAATTCGAGTCTCAGGGATTCTGAGGGCCTATAAACTGGGGGCTTGAATGTTCAGTAGAATAGTCTTGGTCGGTCTCGAAGGCATATGCCAGAAACCATAACCATTGTCACTGCCACTACTATTGTTAGTAACATTTTGATTGGTATTATGATTATTATGACTATTCTTATGATTATTGCTATTACTGTTATAATTAGGAGATCATTATTATTACTAGTACTAGTGTAACTAGTTTATTATTGTTATTATTAATACAATAATTATTATTATTGTCATCATTATTATTATTAGTATTAGGATTATTATTTGTTGTTATTGCTGTTGTTGATGATGGTTGATGGTTCATGGTTGATTGTTGATTGTTGCTTGTTGCTTGTTGTTTGTTGTTGTTTGTGTTTTTGTTTATTGTTATCGATTGTGACTGATATTACTGTAATCATTGTAGTTGTTAGTGTTGTTTTTATTGTTATTGTTGTTTTTCGTCGTATCATTGTCATTGTTACTGCTACCGTTGTTGCTCTTGTTTTTGGTAATTTTTTAGTATGGTCCGGAGAGGTTTCACGAGCAGCCACGCAGATCCTGGCTCGCAAGGAATGCAGCACATAGGGCCGTGAAAGATCACACCCAGGGCCCTTGGCCATTCATGTCCTCCTGAGTCTTTCTTTCGATTTCGGAGTAGTACGAAGCGATTCGTGCTTCTTGTTGCGATTCCCGCATGTTTTGAGTTCTTCTTTGTGTCTTGTTGGATGACTACCGTGGCTATTAGTTTTCATGTGCGAACTACCTCAGCCCCACCCACCAGCTCAACTGTCAAAGCTCATGCTGTATCAGACCACCCCCGCCACTTGCAGCATAAATTAGGGTAAGGGCGGGTACCCTAAACATAGCTGGTTGAGCTGGACACTCCTCGATGGTTCTACTCGAATGGGCGTCTGATGCGGATGCGTTCTCTGACCCTGGCTTGGTGCACCGCCCAGACATCGGAGGGCTTCGGAGTTTGAGGGGCTTCGGGTGTAGGGTCTCGCTTATTGAAATTCGGGACGAGACTGATCCCGGTCCCTGGATCCGGGCACCTGCAGGCATTGACTGTCGTAAGCGAGGATGATTTTCTGTACTGATTGTCTTTGTTCAGCTCCCCGCCTCAGTGGTGCGAAGTTGTAGGGTGCAAGCAGTCACAGTATTCACCCAAAACCCTGAACATGCCTCGCCTGGTTTGTCCGAGTGTGAGCGCCGAAACCCTAAGTATCACTCCCAGGCAGCTCCTTCGTCGATTGATGCTCTCCTTGCTCCACTTGCTGGCTCAAGGGCAGAGGCCCAGGATAGTTCACGCAAGGCACTAGGGATTGAACCTTCAAGACCAGATAGAATCTCATCGCCTGCTTGCCGAGATTTGGTAATTTACGTTATTGGCCCGTTGTGGTCTGCTGCTGTGGGGCATCACCGGATCCGCCAGAGCCAGCGTTCGAAAGACGTTACATGGCATGATGCGCCAGATGCGCATACTTTTGGTTGTTTCCTACATCGCGGCTGTTAAGATGCTTGGCTGCACCGGTCAAAAGGTGGCCACACCATGTCTAAGAATGTGGAAGAGTCCCCTCCAGCGCTCTGGTAGGCTACGAACCAACTAAGGACCACAGCTTTGACAGATGAGCACGGGGCCCAGAGTCTAGATCATGTTCCTGCGTTCCGCTTGCTTGTGTTGGAGCATCCATCCAGTTTCGGCCAACAGATGAATTGAAACAGACCCTGAAGAGGACGCCAGAGGCATAGTGGGTGGTACTCCTCAAAAAGAGGACTCCGAATCTTAAAATATTTTGACGCGGCCTTGCACGTGGAACCTGGGAGTTCTTCTCATGAACCTTGAGTCGCCAAAGCCTTTGGCACTAAATCGTCACGGAAGTTAGAAGTCTTTACCTGCGACTTTGAAAGGTGGTCTACGCCTGTTGCCTTGGACGCAGTAAGCGAAGCCGAGGACTCGTGCTCACGTCTTGTCAAGGAACGCGTCTGACATCTTTGCTCAGATCGGCGCATTCGGGGGATTCGGAAGCGTTTCTGCGTACTGGACTTGCTCTGCATCAGGGTTTTGTTTCGGTCAACGCCCTGTGCTTGCAGGCTCAGTCCCGGAAAAGTTATGTCGGAAACCTCCGCTCGCAGTTGTAGAGACATCCTGAAGCGTCTGTGACGGTTTGCAAGCCCTGCCAATGCAGGATCAGACAAATTTTACAGTTGATCCTGCGTGCGAAGGCCATGGGACTTGCTTCGCCAGAGAGCCGCTGACATTTTCCTTGGGACGGTACAGCAACGGGTATGGCGCCTACAGAGTCCGAGGAGTTTGCATTTGCTGCGGCTGCAAAGGTGAAATGCAGTCTCCATGTCGTGGAGACACAATGATGGACATGCTGCGGCTAGGCTTGCATTCAGGATTCTGGCTTGCAAGATGTTGGAGGGGTGCCTGGCTTCGGATTGAGCTTCTACGTTTTGTTGAAAAAAGCAGGAAGAATGAATTGGCTTTCATCTCGGTTGTTCTCGGTCCGTGGTGAAGTCACGAGTCGAGCCTGTCCACGGTGACACATGATGACCGTGCCCGTATTCATGTCGTGAACTGTCTGCCGCGCACTAAACTCTTGATGGCAGTAGGCTTGCCAGCCGTGGACTGGACTACCTGTAGGGAAGTCGGCAACAATTCGCCACCTCACGATCATACAGCTTTCCCTTGGATATTCGGTCTGAGAGGTCTGCCGATATGTTGCCAACATCACGTGCGGAAGACACGAAGAAATCCTGGAACACATACACAGTTTTGAAAACCCCGACCCCTAAACGCCTCTCTCACTAAGTGAACCTGCTTAGCGAGTAGTTAACGAACCCGCCGAACCTGCAACTGCAGACCTTGCCAGGCTTGTCCGAGTGTCAAAGAAAACGGCAAAAATGTTGGGTGTTTGTTTGGATGTTGGAGGATGCTCCCAGACTTGTCGTGAAGCCTTGCCTGCTTTGTTCGAGTTGTCAGGTCGAAGCCCACAAACCCTAAATGCTCAATTCGCCTGCCTCGAGCGAGTGCGAGTCGAAATCCTCAACTCGCCGGCGCGGCTCAAGTGAAACCCACGCATTCCATGGCATCGCTCAAGAACGGACCTGAAGGCAGCACCCCAACGGCGAGACACAGCGAGCATCTGAAGCCCCAGAGTTCCACCAAGGGCCTCAAAAAGAGGCCGCCTCTAATACAGCCCACAGATACCTGTAGCAGGATCTTGGTTTGATTCCAAAAAGGAACACCCCGATTCACTACAGGAAAGCCCACCTCGGAAATAGAGCAGCGAAGTGAAAAGCACGGCCGGTTCGGTGGCCGCTGCGAGTCGCCAGATGTCGGGGGCTCTGCAGTCCTTGCGCTACTCGCGCAGCGGCGGCTTGGAGGTCTTGGACCAGCTGAAGGTGCCTCAAAGCAAGCAGTACACGCCGGTGAAGGATGCGGAGGATGCATGGAAAGCCGTGCGCTCCATGCAGGTCCGCGGAGCCCCGCTGATTGCCATAGTTTCGGCGCTGGGCCTGGCTGTGGAGGCCGCGGAGCGGGCCAAAGATCCGCCTGCAGAGGATGCAGCTGCGTGGCTTAAGCAAAAGATGTCATACCTGCGAACCTCCCGGCCCACAGCCGTCAATCTCTCCAATGCGATGGAGGCTCTGGAGGAGGTCGTCAATACTGCCGTTCAGTCGGGTTCCCAAGCGGCGCAAGTCTATGAGGCCTACGTGTGTGCGGCAGAGCGGATGCTCGAAGAGGACGTTGCAGCCAACAAGGCCATTGGCGAGGCCGGGACTGACGCCATCCTCGCAGCGATGCAGGCCGCTGGCCGTGGTGACAGCAAAGCTCGGGTTTTGACGATCTGCAACACGGGCTCCCTGGCCTCGGCGGGCTGGGGCACTGCGTTGGGCGTGATCCGCTCGCTGCACGCCAGAGGCCGCCTGGAGCGTGCCTTCGCTTGCGAGACAAGGCCGTACAACCAGGGCGCTCGGCTAACGGCCTTCGAGTTTGTGGAGGATGGGATTCCGGGGACGCTGATCTGCGACTCCATGGCAGCTTCGCTGATGCAGCGCTTCGGTGTCGATGCCTGCGTGGTGGGAGCAGACCGGGTGGCCGCGAATGGCGACACCGCGAACAAAATCGGCACCTATGCCTTGGCGGTGCTGTGCCGACACCACGGTGTGCCTTTCTACGTAACGGCGCCCCTGACCACCCTGGATGCCAAAACTCGGAGCGGCTCGGACATTCCCATCGAGGAACGTCCTGGAGACGAGTTGAGCTGCCTGAAGCTGAACGGAGAGTCGCACCGATTGGCTGCACCAGGGATTGAAGTGTGGAATCCCGCCTTCGACGTTACCCCGGCGGCACTGATCACAGGCATCGCGACCGACAAAGGTCTGGTGCCGAAGCGAAGCACCGGTCCCGAAGACTACGATGTTGCGGGCTTTCTGGCGCAGCCGAACGGCAAAAGGAAGAAGCTGGAGTGAGGTGGAATTTTGAAGCAATCGGGAAAGCCTTCGATCGGAGGTGTTTTACAGTGTTGTCATCGCTGTTCCCACATCTTGGTTTGAGCACTCGAAGGCACGTCCCTGCGACAAGTACTCGGCTAGCTGGGGAATTCTGCGCCTCGGGGTTGCGGGTCCGTACTTGGTATGTACTGTTAGCCATGGTCTTTCGGGTGCTATGCAGATGTCCCGGCAGCAAACCCTCTTTCACCTCGTCGGTCCGAAATCCGTGCCTGCTTTGCGAGAGTGTGTGTGTGTGTGTGTGCGCGTGTGTCGAAGCCCTCAACTCAAACTGCCTCGGGTGCTACAGCTCGATCGCGTCCGAGGCTTGACGTTGTTGGCTTCACCCCTCGTGTCACTTGGTTGAAAATTCGCTGTAAAGGAGAAGGGGAACACATTCAGCAGTACTCGGGCTCCAGTTAAGGTTCGTGAGCTTCAAACAATTGGAACAACTTTGGCAGAAGTCGTTTGAATAGAAGTGCCGTAGTCTTGTCATACTACAAATCAGAGAAGACCTACTCCGAGTCTTGGCTGAGAAGCAGTCTGAGCCCCCAAGGTAGCTTCGGTAGACAGTCAAGGCTTACCTTCGAGGGCCGTTCTAAATGCAGATTAAAGGCTTAAGGCTTCAGCGAGGATGGGTGCCCCTCCTCACCTCGTCAACCTTGTCAGAAGAACCGTCAAAAGCTTGTATGAATTCGTGCAGAGCAACCACCCCTGTAAAAGCTAGTCGCATCAAGGACAGTTGTTTGCACGTGTTTTCTCACAAGCTGAGGATGTGGTGACTTTTGCTGGTGCAGTGACATTCTTCTCGCTACGGCCATTGGTCAAGTTCGCTAGTGACAGCATGAGGTGCCGTCATGAGTAGCCGTGATAGTTGGGATGCCGGAGGTGAGTCGATTTTGATGGTAGTGCAACTCAACTCATGCAGCTAAGCTTGAAGCCAGCTCTTACCAGCACGGCTCGAATCATCTTTGCTGTGCTCGGCAAAAACTGCCAAAGGCACCCAACAATTTTGGCACCATTAGCTTCACTTCCATCTGTGCCTGTGGAAGTCCGTGATATCTGTGGGCACATTTGCATGAGCCCCTAGGAGGGAAGGAGCCATGTTCACTGCACAAATTTTCTGAGGTTTGTGTGCATTTGGGATTGCTTTTGTGCTCCGTCCCATGGGTTCGCACTTGTGCCTTCAGCTCCGCAAGACGCTGCCACGACGCATAGCTCAGATGGCAGACGGGCATTGCACAGCCCCTTTTACAACACAACTGTGTTGCCATAACAGCTGCCGAAGCGCTGACACCATCCCCTGGTGTAAGGATGTTTCGATGCTCCATGTCGTTGTTCACTTGTAGCAGAGTGTGGACAGCACAGTAAGTGTTGTCGTGTCGTTGAGGTATGCATGCTTTTGCGGCAAATCTGGCTGGGTGGTGGAATGCATGGGGCCTGCCTACCTACATATTATAGTACCCTGATAGATCCCTTATAGTAAGCCTTATATAGACCCCTTTAAAGGAACCCTATTCTAATTATTATGCCTACATTGCGGATAGCAGTGTTTTCAGGAGGCCTCAGGGAGCCCGAGCATGCCAAACTGGGCAATGCAATCCCGAGTCCCTACTTGCCCACAACAGGAATTTCAATTACTGTGGAATTTATATGGGTAATTCTCAAAAACTGGGTTCTTTTTGAGGGCCTTTTTCTAAAGGTGCCGTACTATTTTGGGGACCTAAGCATGGAAGCTAACTTGCAGAGCCTCCACATATTCTACAGGTCCTGAGAACGAGACAACCTGGAGCGAGCTCTTGATTCTTGGAGTCTTTCGTGTTCAGGGCTTTATATGGGTTTTCAGCTGTAAACGATAAACGAAGGCAACCCCTAAACCCCTGGAGCCCTAAGGCATAACAATGGCAAACAAAAAACCCTAAACCCGCCAGGCTGTGTCAGAGTTGCGAGAGCGTAAACCCTGCGCCATTTTGAGGCAAAAAACCAAGGCAGCTGTGCCTCGTTGTCCTCATCCCGGCTCTACCTTCTAGGTATTCCGACTGTAGGAAGAAGGAAAAGGGCCCTCAAAACAAAAAAAAACAAGGCAGACCCCAGATCCACCGTCCGATTTTAATTTGAGCGGCTCGACTTTGGTCCAGGCGTCGAGTCGCTCGCCGCTGTTCCCCTCAGAGCCGCGAGCCGTGCCACAAGGGCTCCACGAGCTACAGTATATAATAGAATTCAATAGAGTTTAATCGAATTCAATAGAATTCAAAAGAATAGAATATCATATCATATCATGTAACATGACATGATAATATAATGTAATAAAATCTGATAGTTTAACAGAAGGTAAGTACAATGGTAGCACTTGGTAGCGGATACTTGAACCTTTAACCTTTTAACAGGTCTGTACATACCGATCTACCTATCTATCTAGCTGCATACCTATTTACCGAGCTCCCAAGCTAGCGAACAAATCTAGCTAGCTATCTATCCATCTATCTGAAAAGTAACCATCTGTCAATCTATCCATGTACCCATCAATCCATCTATCTATCTATCCAGCCATCCATCAATCCGTCTGTTCATGCATCCCTTTACGTGCGTGTGTGTGTGTGCACATACTCCTACCATATTAGAAGGTAATGTTCCTGTATGTTTCTGTGGTTCCCTCGCAGTCAGAGCTATCGCGGTGAGATCTCCAAGCCATACCAGTAGCTGCAAAGTCCGGATCGTCTCTTATTGAGCCAGAGAAAATGCTACATTAAATGCCTAAGACGGAGCCAAAGTCTAGCCCTAAACTCTAAGCAAAAAGCCATAAACCGCCAGTGGCTCCAAGAAAAGCCCACTGGCGCACCTGGAACCCCTGCCTAACCTAGGATTCCCAGTTGTTCTTGTGCTGATGCAAAAGTGACCCTCGTAGTTTTTTTGCTATCACTACCATCAGCATGATATACCCATCCAGTACTATAGTGTATGAGCAGCAAGAATGCTTCGCTATCTCCCCGACATAATTTGTCTCTAACTACCTAAACTTCAATGAGACTCTAAGGTAGCCTGATTTTCACTATCTCCAGGAGCCTACAGGGGCCCGAGGGTAAGATGTAAAACGCCAAGGCCCTAATATCGAAGCCTGAAGAAGTAGTATACCAATCCTATCATAGAAGCCTGAATAATTAGTACAATCAGGTTCCTGATTGAAAAAACCGAATGTACAACAGAACCCTATTCTACCTATTCTGGTTGGTCATTACTCCCGACAGTAGATTGCCACGGCCTCCTGACTTGGGCTTGCGGTTCGGTCAGGTTGAGCCTGTCTGAATAGGACAGCTGAAGCCACGGCCCTGTTTTGTCCGCGGCTCTGTCGCAGAAATTTGCCCAGGATACCGGCACCCCTTCTCTCAAGAGAGTCGAGCACTCTAAACCCTCAAACCTGCCCGGATGTCTGGGATGCAACTATCTCCATTTCCGAAGTTAGAGCCCGAGCCTACGCTCTGGGTCTGGGCCTCTAGGTGTCGGAGTGATAATCTGATTGCTACCAGTGGGAGTCGGTTCAGAACGGGTTTTAGCATCGGGGATTTGTCTCCGCAAGGGAGGCATTTGGAGCCTGGCCTCCAAAGTTATGATGTCATTTTTTGGTTCCTTGCTATAGTTACAGTATGCTTCTTCGAAGTTCCTTAGTCTTCTTGTGCACTCAGGCCTTGGTGGAAGCAGTTGGAGCGCGGCCCAATATCTATAATTGGTCATTGGGTGGATATTATGTAAAAATCGTTGTTCTGCATCATGGCTGACGTGTGGCAGAGGGAGAGAGAGAGTGTGTGACTGTGTGTGAGAGGGCATCAAGTATGAGGAAGGGAAACTATGATCACACGCGGTGTGCAGTGGGTCCTCTACTGGGGGTGCCTGGAACCTGCGGTGTCCTGGACTTCGCCGAAGCCTGGGTGTGGGCCTAGACTTCAGAGTTGCGCCCGTCGATTCGGCAACCTCCCTTGCAACGTCGAAGAAGGGATTTCGTGCCACAAACAGTGGGCACACTGTAGCAGGATTCTGCGTGGGAAGTGTCGTCATGGTTCAGTATGTGATGTTCAATCCGTCAAGGTTGGATTATGTTCCGCGCCCCCGATTCGAAACTCTACAGCCCTACAGTAAACTCCAAAGCACATCGAGCCGCCTACCAGAATTGCTAGAAGCCTCCCCGCATTGTCAAGTTATGAGAGTCGAACCTAGAGGCTCCAATATCCCTCAGTTAAGGAATATACCTTAAATTACAGTAGGATCCCTAATAGGATTTGAGGAATATTCCTTAATTAAGGGATATTGGCATCTCTGAGAAATACTCAGCGACTCGCTTCCTTTCCGCCACTTCTGCAAGGCTTTCGCTCTGTAGACCGCCTAATAGAGGGGCTTAAATAGTTGCCTACACTATTCTGGGGGTTCCTTATTAACATTATAGTATTGTAGTATATTATACCTCCAAACCCTCTGAAGTTTCGCGAGGGTGTCAGTGGTCAGTCGTGGGGTTTGTTGGTCATTCTAGGGCGAGGGAGCCCAAGACGTTGCGCAACCGTGCTATTACACCCTGTGCACAGCCACGCACAGATCATATCGGCACAGGGCATCAGGTGAACAGCGCAGACTCGCGCTTGAAAAACGGGGGGTGCGGCAGCTTTTGCTCCGAGCCGATTTGTCACGACTGGTGTACGAGATGCTCCTTTGTACATAGCCGGTTAGTTGAAGTATTAGTACTAATATTAATATCAGTATTAGTATTCGTATTCGTATACGTTGGAGTGCAGGTGCCTCGTGCTGGCTGCCACCCAGAACGAGAGCTCCCGTCCGGTCCCAGGCGCATGTCCCGGCAGAACAGACAACAGACAACCCGCTTGGAGCACAGAGATGCTGAATGTGACCGCAGAGTACATCGTAGGCATCCCCCCTGTTTGTTTTCTATTCGCTTATTTGGAATGCCTAGAGTCTAGGCCCTAGACATCCCAATTTAAAAACCACCATGACGGAGGGAAGCTCAAGCGCGAAACCGTGAGTCCGCCAGGAGGTCTGCAGCGCGGAGACGGCACTCCGAGCATTCTCGACTGCTCCTACAGTGAGGCCCGTGTAATCGGGTTCGGGTTTGGAACCTTGGATCCTTAATCAGGGAACATGCCCTGCAAGATGGGGCATATACACGTAATAGTGACTATAAGGATTATATTAGGGCCCTATTATATTCCTACTATACCACTATTACAGGGTGGGGGGCCCTTCTAACATATACAAGTAATCACAGGCGGTTTTGCGACAAGTGAGCATTAGCAGTTTGCCACGCAGGCCTAATGGTGGACAGCTCGTGCAAGTGTGCCCGCTTATGGCTCCACACAGCCCGTCCGTCCAGAAATGCCACCTCCGAGAAAAATGCTTTCCTACCTCGATACGGCATCTATGTCAACGACAGGAGTGGAACGACTTTCGCCGAACCTTCTCTGCGAATGCCGCTTCTGGCTTCCCCTATGATGATTTCATGCCTCTTGGACGACGTACAGTAGATCCAGCTTAGGTACTTACCCAAACCCGAAATCAACAACCCTAAAACCTGTGTTGTAGACTTAGGCATTTGTCGGTGCAGCTGATAGTGAATCGATAGACGTGTCCAGCGGATGCTGTTTGCAATGCGAGGTTTCAGAAGGCAGATCGGCTCATTGCGAAGAGCCTTCAGCTGCACCGGTCCGGCTGCCAGGGTTTGAACGCCCCCAAACAAAGCAGTATGACATGACCCTGATGCCGAAGAGCCAGTGCATTTGAGGAACATTCTCACATTCCTGGAGTTCCACAGCGGCTGAGCTCAAACTCTTTCGGGAGTCGCGACAACACCGGTTCGGGCGTTTTCCGGGTTGAAGGGTTCGGCCGGTGGGTTTTGGGGGAGTTTACCACCTAGGGCTTTAGCATTGTAGTATGGTGTACACGACACGTTCCCATAGCAGATGTTTCACTCGGCAGACCTGGAACCACATGCCTCGCCTGGATTGTCCGAATGTGAGCGCCGAAACCCCACACCCCAAACGTCAATCCTCCTAAGGCTCTCGATTTTGGAGGGGAGCGGTGAGAGCCGAGGATCCAAGTCCAACGCCTTCTTCCACGACTGCGACAGGGAGGACAGGGAGTAGGAGTTAAGACCGGCTAAGGCTTAGTTAGGGGTTTAGGGTTTTAGGGTTTAGGGTTCTTTTTACAAGTCTGTGCAGAAAGGGCTTTTGGGTTTAGAGTTTAGGGTTTAGGGGTTTAGGGTTTGCAGTCATCAAGGTCTGGATTCAAAACGGTTAGTGCATTGCAGCCCCTGCTCCAAAAACGGGCTTATGGTCGGAGGCGACGTCAGGACGATGACGATGGAACTACGGTTGAGGAAGGTTTTGGAGTTTCGAGTTTTGAGTTTAGCATTTGACATAAAAGCAGCTCCTGCATGGCCGCATAGGCGCATAAAGCAGTTCATGATATCCACGACGGCTTTTGGTTGTACAGAACCCTTCTAGCGCCTTGAAGCCTGAAAAGGAACCTCATCGTGTATATAGCCTTCTAGTGCCGAACGGTACCTACATGGCAACCCTTATATTACCTTCTGGTGACCCTCATGGTAAAAGTCTTTCGTGCCCTCAACGAAAACTTCGCTTCCAGGAGCCGGAAGGGATGGTCTGCTTATACGGAATGCTCTCGGACGCTTTCTTCGGCATTCAGAACCTCCTTCAGGCTCAGTTCTGTTGAGGGCCAAGTCTCGGGGCCTAGGGTTTCATACTAAACCCTAGTGCTTCGGTTTAGGGACAGCTGCAGCTCACGCGGGCAAGCTATGAGGCTCTCCCTGTAAAAGCAATTTAGGGCCGAGAGGGCATGGCACCTTCGGAGTAACTTGGTAGACACTGTGATCTTCTGAGCATGTTTGTTGCGCTGTAGACCTCAACTGGTTTCTGCTTATGCAGAAGACAACCGAAGCTGAATGGCTACATATGGATACTCCGTGCAACCTTTCGACTGGCCCTCCCTGCAGCTTTGAAAGGAGCTCACTAAGGCGGCAGCCTCGAAGCAGGGATACGTACACGCTGTGGCGCCCGCACGAAAGTCACGAAGAAAGATTGCATCCCAAGGCCTTGTTCGTCCACCACCTCTACTTGCGAGGCCCGCGTGGGCCTGAAATCTTCGAGTTTCCGCCTCAAAGCATTGTCTTACCCGCGAAATTAGCTTTCCAGATGCAGTGCATGCCTACTTAGCTAGGCCCATCCCGGGGAATTCACATGCCACCTACGTAATGCTCAAGATGTGTGTGGGGGAGGGGAGGGGGCAAAACCCATAGCCTGAACCCTGAAGCCCCTAAACCTAGATGATCTGCATGGCAGGAAATGTGGAGCAGCCAGAGCCCGAGGAGGACGACAAAGAAGTCTTCAGGCAAGTGGGCGAAATCGAAATGCCAAAGCTTCGGTCGGAACTATACATCTCCGATGTGATAAATTCGGAACGTTCTTAGTCTTAGGCCTTGTGGACTACGGACAGTTTCCGGCTTTCGGTTTCGGTTCGGCTTTGGAGTTAAGAGTGCCGCAATAGTTCGACCCACCAGCTTGAGCAACGAAGTCAACCCATGCCCCCACCCCTCCCCAACCTCTTCCACCTAGACTCCTGACGCAAGTGAGCCTTGGGGCTCCCTCCGTAACGCCAAAGCTATCATTACACTTTTGCAACGGGATACTGTAAACAGTCCGTTAGCCAGCGTAGGAAATTCGTCACTGTGAAGCACCCCACAACTCCGCAGAAGTCTGTCACATGCGAAGGCTAGATAAAGGGCCCTCTAGCTCGAAGCTTTTCGCCCGGGTGGATGTTAGGGGATCTGTGGGTTTGAGATCTGGGTTCAGAGTGTCTTGGGACTTGAAGACTCGGGACTGGGGCGTGAGAATTTAGAGGTGTAAAGGCTGCGCAGGACTTGGGAGCAGCAAGTAGTTCTTTGAATTAGCTTCCCTTTTTAAGTCCGCCAGTAGTATGGCAGACTTAAAATACGACCTTCTTGGTGTGCCAGTAGCAAGCTCAGCGGACTCAGTGCCTGAAGCCATGCATGCCTTGTGCGAGTGTGTGAGTCGAAAAGGAGCCCACAACTACCACAATGTATACTGTGCAAACACATCCTACCGTGCATGGAGGATGTCTTGCACCACCTACATCCACTGTTTCGGGTACACATCCAAGCAACAACCCCGCACCCCCATTTGAATGTTGACGACAGAGCCTCCCTCGGAATTTCCGTCGCCAGGCTCTCGACCGACCTTGCGAGGCTCCGTTCGCGCCAGGATAATGTAGGAACTTTAGGGTTCCTTTAAAGGGGTCTATAAGGGTTACTATAAGGGGTCTATAAGGGTTCCTTTTAAGGGATCTATGAGGGTTACTATAAGGGGTCTATAAGGGTACTATACTAATATAGGAACCTGATTAAGAAACCTTGGGCCTTTGTTAGGGTTGCTTATATGAATCCTACTATTTTGGTTATCGGCCCAGGGTTTCTTAATCAGGTTCCTACATTATGGGAGTTTCCTAAGGGTACCTTACCAGGAATATACCCCTAAGGGTTCCTCAAGGGGCCCCTTAACGGGGTCTATAAGGGTACTATAAGGTACCTTCTGGGAGTTTCCGGAAATTTGGGGGGGATCTAAGGGTCCCTATGAAAAGGGTTACTGTAAGGGTACTATAAATAAGCGTTCCCGTAAAGGGCTCTATAAGGGTTTAGAGTTTCCGAAAATTAGGGGTACCTGTCCTTATGAGAGGGGTCCTACTATCTAGGAATCTACAGTAGGGTACTTTATTGGGTCCCATGTTTTCGGAAATCCCCCATACCCTGGCTTGTGCCTTGGGGCGGTGTGGGTGTAGTAGGTTTAAGCTTTCAGTGGCAATACTATTGGAATTTCTGGGGCCGAGGGGCTTGATGTTTTGTTGGGTCGGTTTTTGTTTGGGGCTAGCAGCTCGCATCGCCACGCACTCTTTGCAATCTTTGAACATGTGGCCGAGCTCGTGCATTCAATGCTTGATTGGGCCCAATTGGCATCGTTCAAAAAGAAGCAGGCAATCCCAAGCTGTAGCCTTGATAGTGATAGTGGTTTACGCATCCAGGGCCCAAGCTCTTGGGTCAGGGTTGTTGTGGCTGGGTGCACCTTCTGTCTACTGTCCGGAGTCGAAGAGTGCCGGCAGGCTGATGATCGTGAACAAGAACAACTGTCTGGAGCCTCCGTCTTGCAGCTCGCGGTTGCGGGTACCTTAGGTGCCTAAATGCTTGATAGCAGTAGCGGAGAGTCTCAGTTCTACTGAAGTTGTACTAGCGCAGTCCCTGAACACAACAGATGAGTGATCTCATCAAGTGCATTCGCCCCACTAGAAGCAGTCCTAGTCGGCGAGCTGTCTCGGTGCTTCGAGCTTCCCGCAAGTACGAACTGACCGTTGTGATCTCACGCTGGCGAACCTTTGACCTAAGACCCTCATATGTCTGGGTCCGAGTGCGAGAGCGCAAGTCTTCGCGGGAGGACTTCTTTGACTCGTCGAACTGGCCTTTGACGTTGGCACAGCTTGTCGTCGGGCCCCCACTGCAGGAGTTGTAGACAGTTGTAGTATGGGCGAAGGTGGTTGTAATGTTTGTGAACCATCGGCACATGACGACACGAATTCCTACATGCAAGAGCTTCTGCTTGAGCTCGAGTGGATGTGGTGCCAACGTTGCAACTTTAGTGGCTTTTAGGTTTAGGCGTTTAGTGCACAGGGCTTTCTTCCTTGCTTTTCGGCTGTGCTGGTGATCTGGTGGAAGGCCACCTTGAAGCCGACTGAAGTGGACAAGGCGTTACTCGGCAGTATTACTATAGGGGCCTAACTAGGCCTACAAATCTGGGAGGAGGATTAGGTGGAGGGAACCTGAACTAACCCCCAAGACGCCTGGGCCTGGTGGTTTCTTGTCATAGTTATAGTATAGCGGGCCCCCAAAACCATATTCTACTTATTAAGGCCCCCCTGTATGAGTTCTCTCTCCCCGCTGGCCCGCCCGACCGCCCGCTGCTCATGATGTTCGTACACAGATCACATTGGCACGCACACGCATTCTGCTTGCTTCGAGCGGCCACGCATCCTGTCCCACTGGAATGGTGAAGAGGCCCAGGAAAGTGATTGACTTGATTACATCCAAAGGATAAGTGCTAAAGCCTCCAAAAATCGGAGCCTGGCCAAGGCTTCGTTTGGAGATCCAGCCGGAGAGAAAGCAGCTTGCCTTCTGCAATAAGCGCACCCAGCAAGATAGCAAACATGCGTCGTCGTCGTCGTCGTCATCATCATCATCTGGGGGGGCTACTGCTGCTGCTGCTGCAGCTACTACTGCGGCTGCTGTTGCTGCCACCGCACTGCTACCGCCACTGCTGCTGCCACTGCTTTTGCTACTACAGTGCTACTACTGCGGCTGCTGCTGCTGCTGCTGCTGCCGCTACTGCTACTGCCACTGCTGCTGCTACTGCTATTGCAAGTGACGGAGAAGCCATAGCGTGGTTGATTCCTGCCGATTTCCGGACTCTCGATCCTTTTTGTTCCCCACCTGTTCCTCGAGGCCTGTTGCTGTTGCACTATTTTCAGGGCTGTTGTGTGTCAGACGTCTGCTCTGGATTGCGAATCTTAGTGGCTCGCTCCCTTGCTACCGACAGCGCACTGCAACCTTTGTCGTAGCTTGCGTCGGCTTGCAACTGTTAACTGTTAACTACAAGATCTTCATGCCTCGCAACCCTCATACATGCCCTCATAATTACATGTAATCCCTGAATGAAATCCGAAGCCACTAGTGCTATAGGGGCCTAGATAATTACCAATACTATTTCAAATCCTTATAATAGTTTCTATAGTGGCCCTTATGGACCCCTTGAAAGGAACCTTATTCTAAATGTTCTAATTATGAAGGCCCCTACCTATCTATCAATCTATATCTATATCTATATCTGTATATATATATATGTACATTAGATAACTGCAGGTTCGTCCCATGGCTGCTGCCCAACTTCGGCTCGGCTGCTGCAGCGCTCGCCAAGAGCAGCGATGTGCACGGGCCCGGAGGGGTTCAGGGCTCGAGTTGCAGGATTCGCTCTCTCTTGGAGTGCGAGGCTTCGGAATGTGGCCATATCATGGTGCACACACACACAAGGTTGATGAGTCTGTTCTGAGGTTGCTTCTGTGCAGCATTTGGTTGTGCAGCGACTAGTCGGGTTGGAAGCTGTAAAGGTAACGGCCAAGCCAAGCCCCAAAAAGCACCTCAGACTCCAAATCCAGGACTTCCTTGGTGGCATACATCACCGGCACACATGCGGCCCTTGCCCGCGAGCCAGCGGCGACTGGGCTTAAAACCGGATCCGGGTCGAAAGAGATCGCTGGTCTCTAGCGAGGTTTTTCGGGACGATCAACTGTGAATCGACAGTATACCAGGTACTGCGAGAGAAGATGGCATGACGTTAAGCTCAAGAGAAAAACTTGGATTCACAACCCAAGAGTGCTGTGTTGCTACGTGCACTCGCCCTGTCCAGAGTCGAAACCCTGAAATCTCAGGCCTAAGAAAGCCTAAGAATGCCTAAGAGCTAAATATGGGGGCTTAATAGTAATGTATGTTGGGGTTCCTAATTATAATTATAGTATAATGGGCACCGGTGGGCTAACACGTGCACAATGTGCATCACGAGCACACGCATGTAGCTGCTGTCAGCGCAGCCGCCGGGTCCAAGTACCGGTCTCGAACAATTGAGTGCTCCGCTTTTGCCCGAACAAACAGGCAAGCGCAAAGTTTGCAAAGTCTCGAGGATGTTCCAAACATGCGCAGTTTTGCTGCCTTGCGAAGATCGGTTGGACGACCAGACGTTCAAACAAAACTGAGTGGCATGAGCCTGTCTAAGTAAGAGAGCGTAAACTCGTGCCCCCCAAACCACATGTGATGTCATCTTACGTAGCACCACTAGTTATATCACATCATAACACAGCATATTATGTTACATTATGTTATGTCATGTTATGTATGAAGGTTAAGGGTAAGGCTAATGTTAATGAGTTTTTTTGAGAATCATACCGTTTATGCCATATTATATTACGAAGCCGCAAAGACAGTGTTGGGCCTCCTGCGTTGATGCGGACAATCAGGAGGGAGTTTCCGAAAATAGGGGGACCCTACTATAGTACCCAAAGTAGTAGGATCCCTAGTATAAGCACCCCCCCTAACCCTAAACCCTAAACCCTATTTTTGGAAACTCCCAGGAGATGCTCACTCGTTTCGCATCGAGCCTTCTGGGCATTGGGATGGCTGCAACTTCTTCTGCAGACAGCTGTCCTGAATTGCAGGGTTTAGAGCTTCGGGTTCAACCCGCACATCGGAGAGTCTAGGGTTTTAGTTGTCGAAAACTGCAATCAGAAGCATCCTCGCTTGCCTGATTCGGTCGTGTTTCTGATCTGAGCTGCCGGGCCGCAAAGTAGAGGATGATTTCGGAAATCCTCGCCTCCAGGCCTTTGGTCCTTTTGAGCATGGGTCCTCCCAGGTTTTCATATTCCACGCTTTCCATAGTACTTGTAGAGGTCGATTCCCATCCGATCAGGATTTGCCTTGAATCATCGTAGACTCGAAGCTCAGTGCTCCTGTATCCCACACCCTCGCCCCTACATAAATCCTGGAAGTGAGCCCATTATTCCGTCGTGCCGGCGTGTTTGGGGTGTGCATGGCTTTTTGTTTCCTACATCTTTACTCCGGGTTGTTCTACGTTTGCTGTTTCAACAATGAACTCGCACATGTCGCGTAGCAAGCCGTGTGGAGTTGGCGTGGATAGCCTACAAAGTTGAACATAGTTGGACGTGTCGCCTGAGTTCTTACTGATTTTACAGTATCCCTTTCCCATGAAGTTATACAGTAGAAAACCGACTATACCCCCGAACCCAATTCCAACGTTTGTGGCACCCGCAACAGGGGCAGTTCGAGTTTGAAGACATCATTCACATTCGGCTTCGAAGAGAATTCGGGTTAATGTGTACCACCACACAACTCAAAATAGAACAATATGACATGATACAGCGCAATGCAATGCAACACAACACCACGTAAAGCAGTACAGTGCAACACAGTATGAAACAGTACAGCCAAACGCAATATCATCTTGTCTACAACGCTATAGTCTAGTATAGCATAGCAGGTTATAGTAATACAACAGAATCTTGCTTATATATATATATATATATATATACATATATATATAGATATGTATGCATACAGTATGATATACCATAACATAGTGCAGTGTAATTACATTTTAGTATAGTATGGTACGGTACATAACTGTATCTCATGATATAATATGACATAATATGTTATTACAGTTATCCCTGCAAGCACACCTCCAGTCTTGCCTTTTCCCACCAAGGCCGTCATGGAAGTCGCTGACGACACACACTGCGGTGCTTTGTTGCAGTTTGCGGTTGTGAAGCTTTCGGGCGGCTTGTGCCAATGGCCCAGCGAGCATGGAAGTTCAGATTCATGTCGATAGTTGCGTTCGCCTGAGTTCGCATCGGGCAGTGACGACGAGACTTCGGCCAAAACAACCTTGGGGCAGTTTTGGTGTGCTCTCAGCGATACCGCGGGATGGCAGCGCCTAAACCCATGCAGAAACTGTGAGCAGCAGTAGCTCCACACTTGCTACGGCCTCCGGCACTTGCTACGGTCTAGCATCGTGGCCTTTTGCCTGGAGTTCTGAGGTTTCCTGGGCTGTCACCCCGCAGAAAACAGAGAGGCAGGGAGAGCCAGGGTTTCACACTCTACTCCGACAGCTTGTCATTGCCGACGGGAGATGTTTGGTCCGGGGTTTGGCACGTGGGCTTGGTGTCGCCATGAGTCAGACTCGATTCGGCTTGGGGCCATGCCGAGAGCGCCCAGACGAATAGTCCGTAGTCAATATTCGCGGGACTCGGGACCGGTTCCGCAAAGGCACGACATTGAAGGATGCCCGATCGAGACAGTTTAGGATTTGCAGCACCTCATATTCAGAATCACAGACGTTTTCCATCATCTGGTGGGGAGCCTTTTTTTGTTTATCCCACCCGCTGGGGAGTCTGCCAGCAAGCCGGTTGGGGTGTGATTGACACCAGGCGTTGCAGGCACACAGAAAAAACGATAATGTTCGTATGACTTGTTTTTTGGAACAGCTGCCAGCCCTGTATGATGCATAGCCGCAAGTCAGGCTGCCCAGCCTTGAGCTTCGATTTTTGACGGGCCCCTGCATCTTGAGAGTGAGGTCCGTCTCGGCTCGAAGCAGCTTTGGCTGCCAAAGCTCCGAGAAGCTTTGTCACCCAGTCTCCTTGAACCTGAGGCCCAAACCCTGAAGACTGCAGAGCCCTAAAGACGTTGAACATAAAGACCTAAGGACGTAAGCCCCTGACCCAAAAGACGTTGCGCAAGACCTCAGGACCTATGACATATACTCTAGACTCGAATGAAGCAACTGCTACAACCGTCAACCCTAAACGAGTGTGTGTCAAACAAACCCTAAGCCCTCATATCCAGGAGGTCGAGCCTCTGCTGCCCTCCCTGGGTCTGCGTGAGATGATGGGGGTCCGCCCGCGGTCTTCCTTTTGGGATGTTTGTGTGCGTTATATATTGGCGGCAGGAGCAGGATTTCATAGCGCTTCTGTGAGGGGCTTACATCATCGTCAGCAGAAGCATCGTCATCAACGTCGTCAGCGTAAGAATGATCATCATCATTTGCAGCTGCAAATCGGACGATCTCATTTTTGAAGGTCGGCTTCCAGCCTGTCGGTCTGCGAGAGACCTGTGGCTGCAAGTTTGTCGGCATGTTTCAGGTTCCGGTACTTCTGCGAAAAAGGCTTCATATGAATATCTAAATCCGCAAAAGTGCGACTCTAGCCGACCTCCGTCGGAATCCCACACCGAAGAGCCAAGACCACAGAAAGTAAATGTAACGGTCTTCGGCCTCCGCACACTGGAAAGGCCAGAAGTCGACAGCTGGAACGTGACTATCTTCGTACGTATAGTTGGGAGGTGTCCATTGTAGGAGTGGTAATGATGGTCGTAGTGGTGAGTGCTGATGGTGTCTGCGAAGGAATGGTAGCAATTTTTTGAAACTGGTAAAGACCAGGCTGGGTCAGAAGCACTTTCGCCCACGCTGGACAGCGCTTGATATTGTTGACTTGCCAGGTGGGAACGTGCTGTAGGGTCTGTTGGCATCTGTGAGAGTTTGGGCTTACCTTGCCTTTTTCCTGAAGGGCTTGCAGCTTTGGTCAACAGTCTAATCTAGTCGTGGGATGGCTTGATGGGAGAGAGAAGGGTAGAATGCTTAGCAGTGGATGCAGGGGTTTGTTTTGAAGTACAGGTGCGCTGAATTGTAGTTAGCCCCAATCTTTGCACAGGACTACTGTCAGAGTTCCAAGAACGCTTCCGCCAGCATTCGCTGAGCCGGGCGGTGGACATTGCAGTTTGCACTTCTCCAGCTGTGCTGCTCCGCTGTATGTTCGGCATCACGTTCCCGGCTTTGGGTTGCATCGGTTGCTTGGTGATCCCGAGCCAGAGAGTTTAGACAGGTTCCTGCTTTACGCAACGTAGGCATATGTAGGCCGTAGGCAATGTAGGCACTCAAACTCGACTTGATAGCAAAAGCTTGAATTGAGGCTTTGCTTGCTTCTGCTGCCCTTCAAGCGCCCGCTGCTGGCGTACTTGGGGGAGCCTCTCCTCTTGTCGGTAGACGAGAGCGGCCGTGACAAATGGACGCCCGTCTCATGACTGGTGCTTCACGAGAGGTTACAGAGAGTAGGGGGAATTCTGCCTGGATGCAAAACAGGGGGGATTCTGCAACTCGCAGGTAACGGTAAAACCTTGGGAGGCTTGCCCGCATTGGCGGTGCCCCCTGCCCCTGGCCTCAGCCAGGTTCGAGCAGTTCGACAGCCTGGCAACCGACCCACATCACTTCTTCACTTGCTATAACCCCTTCTTGCCGCTACAACTGCATTTCAATGGGAGCTTCAAGAACCTCTGCTGTTGCTTCTCACAGCCGTAGGCGTTTCGGCCACATCGCTACGCGCACCCCAGTTGGCCCCGCTAGCTGCCCTCGCTCAATGTCGGCACTACCAGAGAGTGGTTGTTTGAACTTCCGTTGTGCCACCACGAGGTCCTCCATGATCGAGTATCAGACGGGTATCATGGCTGCATTGTGCCAGGAGAGTCGTCAAGGGACTGGGGGTTCACCGGCACCATCAAAGTCTTAAGGCCATGCCGACGCACGAGGGACAAGCGAGCCCTGTGTGAGGGCCGTTCAGTAGCGAACTGGGCTAGGCAGGTCAGGTGAAAAATCTCAGCAAGTGCATCTTGCAATGCCTTTCCGGATGCCGAGGATCCGCCATAACCCTAAACCCTAAACCCTTCCCATGTTGCGCCCAGTGGATTTACCGCTTTTGGATCCGTGCTGACACGAAAAGGGCCGCTGAAAGAAAGAAACCTTCACTCGACAGACTCCGAACCACATGCCTCGCCTGGATTGCCCGAGTGTGAGCGCTGCAACCCTAAACCCTAAATGTTGCTTTCTTTGGTCACTTGGGACCGCGCTTTGCATGAACGCCAGCCTTGCTCAGAGGATTAATCCTACCCACGATCCGCCTCCACGGCCTCTACACCGAGGCAGGGGGGTACCATAGAGGCCTTAATAATCGGAATAGGGTTCCTTTTAAAGGGGCTTATAAGGGCTACTGTAAGGGATGTTTTAAGGATTTAATATAGAAGGGATGTTATAAGGATTTAATATAGGAGCCTTGGTCCATTATAATAAGGAACCCCCACAATAGTTTAGGTAATTATTAAGGCCCATATGTGGAGAGCACGCTTAGCGCACGGCTTTTGACTTGCAGGTTGGCAGGGCGTGTGCAACGCTGCGTTTTAAGGCCTCATGAAACTACTTAGCGCGACTTGGTCTTACAGGCTGCTTGAGGGTGCGAAGGCTGTGGTTACATATGCCGATGAGTCACGTGCGATGCATCTCCTTTTTTAAAAAAATTGCGTGATTGGGGCTGAGGGTATCTATCATCCAAAACTATCAAAACTCTATATTCGGTGACAGGTCATGTTTCTACGAGACTCCGAAGATTAGATTCCTGTTCACGATGCGTGTGACATAGAAGCACATCGGGGACAGCGGCAAGTGAGCGTAACCTTCTGAGACCCATGCTGCGCGCAAGCCGAAGTGGAATTGCACAAACTAGGGGGTACATGGCGACTTGCTCAAATGCTCGAAAGCCACACTGCTTGCGAGACCCGTCCATCCATCAACGAAGCATAGTACAACAGCTGATTACTGGGGGGCAGTGTAAATCAAGATTCGCTGTGGGTGATCCACGTGGGAAGCTCAAACGGGGTTGTTCCACATGTAGGTTCCCTCTGAGGGTCCAAATCCAGAGTTCCAATGATGTTAGTCCCGAAACCCGTACTTGACAGGAACAGACGTGGCTCTTTATCTTGCAGTACTTACTAGTGACAATCCGGGAGGTTTACCGAAGCCCCAAGTGAATTGCCGGCAGGCCAGCTACGCACCAAGTGGCCGCAGAGGAGAGGAGGTACTTGTCATCAAAGGCGGGCTAAGGGCCATGTGTGAGGTCGATGCACCGTTTCGAAAGTCCCACTGGCCTGGTCAGGACCCAACATCTGCACCGATTCGGTCTGTGTCCTGAGCCTGGGTCGCTCTTATGACATGTTGCGAACGGCTTTTCTTCTGCATCAGCCACGACCTTAAAAGCCCTTGTTGCGTGCAGACGGTTCAATTGGAAACAGAGTGTAAGAAGATGCGACATTCATCGGAAACAACATAACGTTCATGTCTGTTCATGCTGGCTCTGCTTTGAGGCAGGTGTAAGGGCCACTTTTGACCAGTTTGTGGGAGCCGGCACCAGTTCTCGTCATGAAAGGAATGGTCGGACATAGTAGTTTGGACTTGTGCATTAAGACTTGAAGACATCTCCCAGCCACCGCCAGCTTGCAGTTGAAAATACTTACAGGAAGCTGGGAAACTCTTAGACATCTGCGTTAGTTACGATGGGCCCATGCACACACAGAGAATATACGGTGATATTGTCCTATGTATAGATAGATATACATAATAATGTATGTTGTATGTGTGTATGTACGGACGAACGTGCGTATGTATGTTTGGATGTATGTGAATGTGTGTGTGTGTATGTATGTACGTATGCATGTATCTTATATGCTATGTGATCTCATATCTGGCACTACTGTATGGCTTACATGCAATATGGCATATGGCACATGGTAGGGCTAACGATCTGTAGATTTTGGGAACGATTTGTATATATGTATATGTATATGTATATGTATATAGTTATATATAGTTATATATAGTTATATATAGTTATATATAGTTATATATGGTTATATATAGTTATATATAGTTATATATAGTTATATATATATATATGTACACCTTCATATGTAAATTTGTTTCTCCAGATCGGGTGTGTATATATGTATATGATTAATTAGTTATATTTGTACATATATATATATATATATATATATATGCATATATACACATTATCACCTGCTAGCCGAGACGTAGAGGTTAAACGCGAACTTGAGGAACAAGTTCCTCGTCAACCTCCTTGGCCAGAGCAGTGCCGGAGACGCAGCGGAGGCACCTGTCGAGACATTTTTGGAATGCCGCCTAGAAGAGCAAGAGAAGTGTGTGAGTGCTGCAAGTGCCACACCAATTACAGGTTGGTCTTGTGAAGAATTTTGCTACACTCCAGAATTTTGCTTTGCAGAAAATCTTGTGGGGCAAAGCTTCTTCTTGCTCACAGCAGCAGACGCTAGACTACTGGCGGAGCCGACTGGAACCGGGCGTCAGAGCATTTGCAACCACTATATAGTACCCTATATAAGTATATCAGGCACCCCGCGCAGTGCTCTTTCGTTTTCGCAACAGGATTAGGCAATTGGGAAGCGCTGTGCGGCTGTGCAGGACGGGAGCAACCACAAGTTAAAGCTGCTCGGCTTTTGGAGTGGCTGTGAGCTGGTGCCTGCGTAGAGGTATAATTGGGGTTAAAAGTCCCCTAAGTGGAGTTATCATAATGATAACCTATTTATACCGTTACTGACCGAGTCCCATGAGCCTTTAAGTGTCTTCTGCTTGCTGAACATTTGAGAATTGGTGTCACAGCCCTCCCGGCAGATTGGACCACAGTGCAGGCCCCGCACACACCAAGCCAGAGCTGGCAAGTCCCCTGTAGTCCCGGCTTGCTGTTGCTGCACGGGCTCACGGGCTCCACTTCCTAGACTTTAGCCGCATGGCAATGTCTGAAATTATGTCGGACCATTGTAAATGTGACGACTACCACCGGGTTGACGCTTAATGCGGGATCAGAAGACCCACCCAAGCCAGCAACGAATCAACATGAGCAAGAACTCCCTGTCAATCCAAAAGTCCTTGACCCCAGCTCACTGGATGCTTGTGCCTGGGCCTACATGACCTGGGGCCTTCTTGCAGCTTCAGTTTGCAGCTTCTAGATTCTAGGGCTACTGTGACGCTAATACCGGCTTTTGAGTTTGGGGATCCGCCATGGCGACGGCAGCTTTGGTGAATGGGGCCCATCGCGGTGGCTATGCGGTGGATCGGGTGATGTTTCCGGTACCGGCATACAATGAGACTGCCGCAAGCTTCTCCAGAGCAGTGCAGCCTGGCTGAGAAACATACATAAGCGGGCATGTGTGCACATGCACAGGAACATATGTATATGTATATATATATATATGTATATATATATATATATATGTATATCAACGTGTGTGTGTGTGTGCGTGTACATATCTCTTTTAGTTCTACACATATAACACAGAAGAGAGATACATATATAATTAGTTAAAGTTTTCACCATGTACTATGCAAATATGCCAAGATTTACACATGCCTACATGCCTGCATGCATGCATGCATGCTTGCAGCAACGTTCTCGCATACATACATAAGTACACAAGTATATAATCTATCAAACAAGTACATCAAGTAGATGTATGTATATGTATGATGACAAGCATGACGGTACATTCGTTAAGCACGTCGGAGCACACACACACACATGAACACGACACATGCAGGCATAAACTTCACAACCAGGGAAGGGCAGCTTTCTTACACATACATGCATACATACATACATTCCTGTGTATGCAGAGACAAGACAAACAAGTATCAAAGCAAATAATCCGCACAAGCGCCAGCATTTAATCATATATATATATAGACATGTAATGTACATATAAGTATGCAAAACGACGAAGAAACACACATATACATATGTATACATACACATATAGAGAGACTAAGAGATGGAAAACTACATGTCTACATATCTGCATATCAAGAAAACATGTAGAATTCCATAAACTTGGAGAGCTTATGAATATCTCATTAAACAAATATACACGAGCACAGACGCATGTATATATTCGTATGCATTCAGTTTTACGAGTGACAAAAATGTATGCACATGTTTGTATCTATGAATTTCATTCTCATAGCTACATACAAGTATCAAAACCTATGACCATATAGAGATATGAGTATGCGAAAACAAGTATATGCATGTGTATATAATTTACACATGCGTATACACAAACATGCCGAAACACATGTACAGATAGATGAATAGATCGATAGAAAAGTATGTAGATAGATCGGTTAGACAGATGGACAGATAGAAAGATGGATGTAATTTTCCGAAAGTACCACTACTTGTGTGTCTGCATACTCATACATTCTGCTCAGGGAAATTAAATTCGGGTTACTTTAGGGTTGGGAGGTCATGTGGTGCAAGAAGCAGCAAATCCTGCAGTGAGTGCCGTGTGACTGACTCACAGCAAGCTAAGGAACAAGCAGGACCTGGCTGGTTTCTTCCGAAGTTTCGGGCATCAGCACTTACGGTTATGCCTCCGAGCAGTATACAGCAACCTGGGACTGGGAGCTGGTCTAGTTGCTTCCTTTTAATGATGGCTGTTTGCTGCTTCTCTTCTGCAATTACTGGCGTTGTTGCGGGGCCGTCCAATTCGTCCCGGACCCACAGAATACACCTGTGCCTTCGCTGCGCTCTCCCAAGCCTCTCCCTGGGCCAACATGATATCGTGGTTCTGGTATCCGTGAAACCAGCAACAACCTCCATGGCCGGTAGTTTTACGGCTGTGGTTGCGTCACCATGCGTCTGAGTGGCTGTGACACCAAATATGTGTGTCTCGTCGTAGTACGCCATTATGTTTTCGGCATCGAGACCCCCTAACGGACCATCAAGCCTGAAATGCCTTCGGGACATCCGCTGTCTATGGTCCTGGAGCTTCTGTCAGCCCCGAGAGGAAGAGCAGCCTGACTTGAATGACGTCGTGTTTGCACTCCAGGAAGGCGTGGGGGGTGGGTTGTAAATTTCGACTTGTTCTTGGACTTTGATGCACGCCCTGAAGCTGCAAGGTTGCCATGCCCTTGCTTATTCCAAGCGTGTCTTCAAGCTGAGTTTTGGGGTTTGAAACGACAAGTTCTGCAGCTGGTGGTTGGTGAGCTGCCCTTCTGCTGGTGCTCTACTGGTACTCCTTTCCTTTCTGCGGCTGCGGATGCTCTGCGTCCTGCGGCTGCTGATGCTTCCACTACTACGACTACTACGGAGGCTACTACTACTGCTGCTGCTGCTGCTACTACTACTACTACTACTACTACTACTACTACTACCACTACCACTACTCCTGCTCCTGATCCTCCTGCCGCGCATGATGCTCCTCCTGCTCCGGCTGCTCCTGCTCCTGTCTTGCTGCTACTGCTGCCACCCACTGCCATAACGACGACGGCGTGTCACCAATAAGCAGCAGGACCACCCGCAACAACAACAGCAGCAACCAAAAGCGAGACAGCACCATCATACAACGTACCCAAGAACGAGCAGCATCGCCAGCACCAACACGAACTTCCACAGCTACCGCGACAGTGACAGCAATAGCCACTTTGCCCTCTCGCTGCCACTGTCTTCTTAGGGTTGAGTTGAAGCCAAGTATCGGCGCGACCCTGGGCCTTACATCCGCTGCGCACCGGGACCTTTGTTCCCACCGCGCACGCCACATCGAAAGAATGCAAGTGAAAGTAGGAGCCTTTCCTTGCAGTGTAGGGCTGCTATTTTGGGGGTTCCTCATTTATATTTAATTGTAAAATGGGCCCCAACACCCTATTTTCATTTCTAAAGCCCTTATAGTAATAGAAGCCTACTATAGATCCTTTTTGGACCTCTTTAAGGAAGCCTTGTACCGCCTTCTGCACAGCAACTGCCAGGCGAAGCCCTCGAGCGGCGATGGGCCCTCGAACTGTTGGGGGGCGCGGCGGCGGAGCGGCCAGGGCTCGGCCTCGAGATCCGTTTATGACGGTTGAGGGTTTAGGGTTTATGACGGTTGCGGGTGGCTTAGGGTTTAGGATTTAGGGTTCCTTTTACCGTAAGGGTAGTATAGGGTTCAATGATAGGGTTCCCTTGAATGGTTTAGGGTCTACTTAAAGGCTCATGGCACTTAGAAAGGTTATTAGTAGGGTATAAGTAGGATAACCCCACTTAGAGGACTTATAACCCCCATTAAATAGCCTACTTACCAAGTCCTCTAAGAAGGGTTTACTTAAAGGATCATGGGACTTAGTAAGTAGGTTGTAATTGGAGTTATAAGTCCCCTAAGTGGGGTTACCCAACCTTACTTACTAAGTCCCATGAGCCTTCAAGTAGGATTTAGGGAGCGGGAGTCTGGGGTCTGGGTTAAGAAAGGGAGCGGATCCACAGATGCATCGCCGTGTTGCCGGAAGATGTTGAGTGGCATTCGTGGCAGACAGGCTTGAAGTCATTCGGGGCACAGTGGCTGCGGGGCCGGAGGTTTTGGTATTCGATGACCCGCCAGGGCAGCATTGGTGTTACGAGTTGTGTATGCTGTTTGGTAGTCGAGTCGATACCGAAAATTGTTAGTAGCAGCAGTAGTAGCAGTAACAGTAGCACGAGCAGCACGAGCAGCACGAGCAGCACTAGCAGCACTAGCAGCACTAGTGGCACTAGTAGCACTAGTAGCACTAGTAGTAGTAGTAGTAGTAGTAGTAGTAGTAGTAGTAGCAGTAGTGGTAGTAGTAGTAGTGGTAGTAGTAGTAGTAGTAGTAGGAGTAGTAGTAGTAGTAGTAGTAGTAGTAGTAGTAGTAGTAGTAGTAATAGTAGTGGCAGTAGTGGTAGTGGTAGTTGCAGTGATGGTAGTAGTAGTCGTCGTCGTAGTAGACGTCGTCGTACTGTCGTACTGGTAGCGCTAGTATGTTCGTAGTCCGTTGTTGTTGCTGTTGCCGTTGCTGTTGCGTTGGTTGCTGGTCCTGCTGCTACCGCTGTCATTCATTCTGTCCATGTGACGGTGGCGGTCAGTGCTTCTCTGGTTTTCTTGTTCCCTCAGCTGCTGCTGCTGCCATTATGCTTGATTTGTTTGTTGTCTCTCTCTCTCTCTCTGTTTGGTGTTCAGTATTTCTAGCTTAGCAGTCATTGCATGTGTTCTGGTTGTGATTGTGCTTGCTAGCTTCCTCTCCCTGTCATCCCCTAAACGACAAATACCAAGTTACCGAGGAACCATGTTTTCTTGGTCATCATCCCCCGGTACGCCAGCAGAACGAACCACAAAGCAAGGTCAAGAAATCTCCTAGACTAGTTGCTTGCGATATTTCGCCTCTCCAACCTAGTCCTTGACCTGATGAAGTTGCTGCTGCAGAGCCTCGAGGACGAGGATGCACGAGACGCTCAGCTAAGTGTTCTGTTGCATCAAAGGGCTCAAGGAAGGTTCGAGGAGGGTTTTACCTTTCTTATCCGTGGCAGGGTATTGGGTCGGAAGCTCGCTGCGATTTGGCAGACAATGACACAATGCTGAGAGAAATTCAGTTCGAGAGCAGTGCCGGCGCAATCCATACGGATTACAACTCGCGCGAGATGCGAACGTCCTTTGATTTTCCAAGC